TAATTTCATGTAAATAAGCTTAATGACCTGGTATTTAACTGTCAAATAGACATGTATCTCCCTGAAATAACATTCTACTTACATGATTATGAAGACATATATAAAAATACAATGACCAACCTCCCTTGAAAGGTACAGATCCAAAACATGACAGAAAATACCTTGCCATAGAGACTCCTCAATGTCAAAGTCCTCATAAAATCGACTATTCATGCTGTCAAGCTGAGAATCTTGCTTTTGTCCCAGTAGAATATCTGATTCAACTGCAATCAACACTCCCACAGGTAGACACTGACACTCGACTCACTGCTTAGCGTTAGTCCTGACACAACATGCTGTAAATCTCACATAACATTATTGTCTCATGTGATATAAGACTATATTGTCTGTGTGATACAACACTATTGTCTGTGTGGTATAACACCCTACTGCAGAGAGTCTGATATACCCTGTATAGCCAGCTACCAGGATCACCTGTCTGTGTTTGTTTAGCTCAGCACTAGGGTAGGAAGGACACAGATACTGTGTTTACACCACTGTCGTAAAATGATAAGACTACCTGTCACACCGTAATGGCTGCCAATTGTGATAACAATCTAGTTGTTTGTAAACTAAAGATCAGGAACGTACACCATTAAGGGCAGATATTAATCTCAAGAAGGTTTCTATGCCTTTATTCGCATGATTAGAAGGGATTGAGTTCCTGACTCATCATGTCCACCACATGACAGGTATTAATACCTATACCCATCCACTACCTCTGTGTGGCCCCTACATATTGATCCCACTGTTAGCTGCATGCACAAATGGGTCGGCTGGAACTATAAATAATAGTACAGATGGGTCATATCACTGAATAATCCTTCTTTTATTCCATTCCAGATGTTGCCATAAGAAGGTGAATGTGAGCCTCACTGACTATAACTTATAAGTCTCCCATGTTATTTTGAGTGTGTTGTTTCATGCTATTTGTGGCCATAACACAGCACAGGGGAATAAGAATTGGCTTAATTTCACTGTAGGGACAAAAAAAAACTTACGGCAAAACAATAAGAGTGCCTTTAAACCCAAACCCTTCTTTTGTCCATCATTTTAAGATGTAGGCACTGAAGTCAGGAATACAGGCAGCTCAGTCACTGACTCCAAAAGAATTGATCAGCACAACAAATTTACATTTTAATCAACCTTTGTATGTTTTTTTTAAAAAACTAATTTCTTCAACAAATCTTACATTTACACATTATGTTTTCAACATTGCCAGGATTGTCTCCCTTGTTACCTGTGTGGTGACCCCACACCGACTACCCCAGGGCCTGAAGCAACAGAATCTGAGTTTATCACTGCAACATTTTCCCGTTAGAGTCCCCTGACATTTGGAGGTGTGTCGAGTGTGTTATTTCATGTGGTTGAGACGGAAATCAGAATGAGGCTCAATCCTTATCCGAGTGGCATCCTGGGAAGATACTCGGCAGTATAAATAAACATCTATCCAATCACATTTAGCTCTTCACCTGCTTGCACCCAGACAGGGGGCGCTGTATCGGGGTCATACATCAATACATACAAACTCTGTTGCGACAGCGTTTCAAGATCATTTAGCGTTTATTTTACACTGGTGGCATTAAGTCCACTGTTTGTTTCTGATTGAGTGAGTGAGTGAGGGAAGGGGTGGGTGGGAAGCATGAGTGAGTGAGTGAGTGAGGAGTGAGTGAGGAGTGAGTGAGTGAATGAGTAAGTGAATGAGTGGATAAATGAGACGTTGGGTGGATCCCTTGGTTTAATTCCAGTTGGAACAGTATTTCTATGGTAAAATCATAATCAACTTAGTGGGGATGGAGAACACAGTTTACTTTGATTACAATGACACCCAAAAGTGAGTGAGCGAGCAAGTTGGTTGGTGTGTTACTTCAGTATAATTCTAGTTTAACAGTACTTCTGTAAAATCAGCTGGATGGAGAACCAACTGAATGGAGACCTTAGACGTTAACTTCCATGGTGAATCCCAAATGCATGATGTGAGACAGCGGGTGGGTGTTCAGGCCATTGGTTTAATTCCAGTTGGAACAGTATTTCTTTTGTGAATCCTAAAAGCATGGGCCTGGTGCTGACTAATGAAGAAACCGTCAGTCCAACTTAGGCTTCACTTTGTACCCTAAACTAATGCTTAGTCTCTGAATAATATAATTTTGATTGTAACAAATGAAACCATTTAAATTGAAAAGGAGCCCAAGGGAGACCACAAACCCTAAACCTGGGGAAATCTAGACTTGCTTTATAAAGGGCTAGCATTGCAGGAAAAGCAAGGCTGGTAGGAAAATAATATAGTTCAGGGACTGAGAGACAGACTACTTCTACTGATGCCAGTCCAGTTCCAGATCATGGGTTTTAGGCATGCCAAAATGACAGAACTGATAACATTATGCAGCAAAAACCCAGATAAAATCTAGAATTACAAAATCACATCAATTTGTCAATTTATCTCAACATCTGATTTGTATATGAGAGATCAAACATCATATCTAAATTATTAAAATCCAAATTAATTTTGAAATGGAAAATTGTAATATTTTCAAATGTTCTTTTCCCGATAACTCATATTTCATATTCCAAAATTTATTCATCCATCACCAATTCCCAACATGGCAACAGTATCGACACATTTCCTGTACATTACCTAATTGTGTTAATGGTTTTGCTACCAAATTATTCAATGTCTCCCTGGAGGAGTATAGATATCACCCAAAACTGGAAAACAGCCAAAAATATTTTCATGACCATATTTTACAACTAATACATGACATCTACCTTCAAAGCTTTTTTTTCTTTATATGGAAAAAACAACAACCCCAAAACATATTAGTCAAAAAGAATCTATTTACAACTAAAGAATAATACAATTTACCAAAAAAATTCATAAAGATCTGAACATTATTAAGCTCTTTGGCAAAACATTCTTGATTAAACAACTGCAACCTCCCTATCCCTAATACAGTAGGTTCTTCTACCATAGTTCCTCTATTTAATGTTGAGTACACGATATGCCAGGTAGTTTTTGTTCCAACTATGCAACTTGGTGTAGACCAGGAAAGCTAGGCAGTATCTGAGGACCTCTGTGCAAGAATTCATTCCAAAATAAACAGGACTTGAACATCATATTGGACTTGTATTTGACTATACATATGAGCTACATCATCCCCGGAACAAGAGTAGATAGACAGATTGCCTAGGGAGAAGGGTATAACACCCCGACACCCTCAGGTAACACAACTAACAGAAGCATTTTAGAAAACTTTAAAATTCCATACTGATAAGTATCAGTGAAGACAGATCGAATCATAGGACAGAAATTGAAACTATAATGTTCTGTTTAATAAATTGCCTGAATGTCTGAAAGTATATAATCAACGATATACTATGTAAGGGATAACTGGACATATATTAGCTCTGATATCTTAACAGTAGCTACACAAATATGAATAGTACCGTATATATGGAAAGATAATTTTCTGGTATTCAAACATGCATTACAGTGATAAGCACTGCTGAATGATAAGATGATGTGATATGACATCAAATTGCTACTTTGTTGAGAATAACATGACATAATATCCATTGTTTATGATATCTCAGGGGGACAATGTAACACTATCTGAACAATATGCTAACATAAAATAATGTTTCACATTACATTTAACATTTCTACAGATTTCCTAATTTACTTCCTTTAAATTGTAATTGACTTCTTTGATAGAATTGGGCAAGTCCCTCACTAAACAACCACTACAGACAATCCATATTCCTTTCTGGATCATATTCAATAAGAATCCATGAGTTTCTAATCACACCCAATAGCAACGCAAACCCAAGCCGAGTTCTAACTCATGACCTAGTTCTAAGAACTGTGACAAACTGACAAGTCTTCGACACAACAATTATCTTGAACTGGAACACATGATAGCCATGATGACCAAGCATCTAAATGTAAACATTCGTTCTTGGTGTTTCTGTGCACCAGTGACAGTCAACATTCAGAGTGCCTGGAAACTTATTCTGCCTTGGAACCCAAAATGGAGTGAGTGAGTGAGTTTGGTTTTACGCCGCTTTTAGCAATATTCCAGCAATACCACGTCGGGGGACACCAGAAATGAGCTTCACACATTGTGCCCATGTGGGGAATCGAACCCGGGTCTTCGGCGTGACGAGCCAACGCTTTAACCACCAGGCTACCCCACCGCCCCCCCAAAATGGAGACAAGCATGGGTACTCGGATCTATTCAGGCTACAAATCCCAAAGAGAGACAATCAAGGTATACTGGGAACCTATTCTGACCAGGTCTTCAAATCATGTGTAAGTCCACGGCCCAGATGATAATAACTCCCATACTTTAACATAGACTTACGACTGTCATAGTGCTAGGATTGTTTATTGCAGATATATTCTAACTTAATGGTGTCAGTCACACAGATGAAATGTATTTCTGTTACTTTAGTACCTTCAGTTATAATTAAGAAAGCAATTCAGGGGTCTTTATTTCAAATTGCCTAGATTCTGATATTACTTGGGTAAATGTCAAGGATCCACAGTAAATACAAAATGTCAATTGCATTGTCAGTCAATTGATTGTTGTTTAATACCGCACTCAGCAATTTTCAAGCTATATGATGACATTTTGCAAATAACTGAATCTGGACCAGACAAACTGGTGATTGACATCATGAGCATAATAAGCCAAGAACAACTGGTCATAGGTAATTACCACTTTGAGTAAACCCACAAGTACAGGTATGGATCTAACAAACCGGGGGATTCAAACCCACTCTCATAGGTTTCTGGCATGCCCAAGCAACTATAGAACACTTGTCCCCCACTAGCCACATAAAGGCAGGCTTATCTCTTGGATATATATCAGTCACTGACTTTGAATGAAGAGATACTATATGAACCTATAACAGTAAACAGTATGGTTTACAGTTTATACAAAGAAGAAAACTCTACATACCTCTCCTTGCCGCTGCACTGATGACTGAGTCTGTCTCCGTACACGTGTCACAAGTTTCATCTCGACTCACTACAGATGCATTTGCACTGAAATAAACAATACCATATGTGAATATATCTTTTTTCTTTAATAACCAATTTGGAACATGGCACTTTGGTTTATGGGTGGTAAAACCCACTGATACAGCGTTCGATATTAATCTCTTTTAGGAAACCCACTACATGAGAACTTATATAGTTCAGGTGAATTTAGGATTTCAAATCTGCAAAGAATGGATACTGGTACAGTCCAGGGAGGTAACTCTGTGATGACCACTGAGCCATTCCTGCCCTTGATGGTTTTATATGGCTTTGTTATTACATTTTCACACACACTGGTGATTAATAGGATATAACTGATATCACATATGTGTGTGAGTGAGTTCCTGAGCCATGACTGGCTACTCCATGGTGATGAAAGTCAGATGATGGACTTCTTTCCTGATGCTCATGATTTCTCATGCTTCAGTCGATTTCACCTATCTCTGAGTCATAACCTTTCAGAAGCTTGTGTGACCCGTGAAGATCCGGGGTAGAATAGGTCTTCAGCAACCCATACTTGCCTCTAAAGGCGAACTATGCTTGTCGTAAGAGGCCACTAATAAGATCGGGTGGTCAGGCTCGCTGACTTGGTTGACACATGTCATCGGTTCCCAATTGCGCAGAGCAATGCTCATGCTGTTGATCACTGGATTGTGTGGTCCAGACTCGATTATTTACAGACCGTTGCCATAGAGCTGCAATATTGCTGAGTGCGGCGTTAAACTAAACTCACTCATTCAGAATTTTGTTTGGAGTGAGTGAGTGAGTTTGGTTCTACGCCGCTTTTAGCAATATTCCAGCAATATCACGCCAGGGGACACCAGAAATGAGATTCACACAAAGTACCCATGTGGGGATTCAAACCCGGGTCTTCGGCATGACGAGCAAACGATTTAACCACTAGGCTACCCCACCGCCCCAATTTTGTTTGAAGGTCACAGTAGTTACAAGCAGTGAGCTGTTATCCAGACAACATCAATGATTATCTTTACAATAAGCATGAAAGCCACGCATGAGAATAGCTTCAGTATGCATCAATTCTAATCAGGGCTTGATATCAATATATCATGCATCAGTGACAAATATATACATCTACATTCACCAATTGCATATCAAAGTATTCAAATTAAACATGACTATCCCTGAACTATCCTTTGAAGACAATACCTTTAAAGTTTGTTTACCATACCACATAACTGACCATTGTTTTGTGTGTAATGTCTCATGCTTTCTTTAACGTCATGTCATCAAAATGTGGGTACTTCAAGCTTTGTGAGTCACATAGCTTTTAGCAATTTTCGATATAAAATCAAAATAAAGTTTCTTTAATCTACCCTTCAGGAGTGAGTGTGAGTTTGGTTTTATGCTGCTTTTAGCAATATTCCAGCACTATCATAGCAGGGGACACCAGAAAAGGGCTTCACACATTGTACTTAATTGGAAACTCGAACCCGGGTTCAGCGTGATGAGCGAACGCTTAAACCACTAGGCTACAGAACCATATCACTACCCTTCAGGAAGATGTGAAGATAAACTGGTTATTTCCCTGAAATGGCATCACAAAATCTTTCAACTTGACCAACAAAGGAGATTTCTTGATTCAGAGAAAATAACATGCTCATCATACATCAGATCCTCCCAGAAATATTACAAGTTATTTCAGGATATTGTAAGAAAATACTGCAAGACCACTACACATGCAGTTCATCCAATTTCGACATTCATAGCTGGAGGTAAACTTTCTGCCGAAATTCTGGGCCTGCAACAGCAACAACAGCCACAGAGCAACAGCTGCTCAATGGCTTCAACAGACATCTTGATTTCAATCATGGAAACTACGCATGGCTTGGCTCTCTTATGCAATGAAAGCAAGCATTGCTTCTTCTGCGCTGTTTTGACAGATGTCACAATGCTGGTTTGCAGCAAATTCCCAATTATTTAGCTTGTTCCTGAATAGGTAGAACCAGAGCTGGGCCTTCAACAATGAGCCCAAATGCCATGGGTTATTGTCTCAGTACACAGGGAGTCAGGATACAAAAGCGACATAAGTGTAACAGTGTTAACCCTGTACTACCGGGGTTAGAATTCAATATTCAGGGTTACAATTTAATATTACTGAGCTTCAAATTGATTTGAAACCTATGGACCAAGTGACCAAAAACTTGTGGGATGTTTTAAACAGCTTTCAGCAACAACCCAGCTAGAATGAGGCTCCAATGTTTTACACATTAAAACTCTTCAGTGAAGGGCAAGACTACCCCACCACTCCCTGTTAAAGTAAGTGAGTGAGTGAGTGAGTTTTACGCTCACTTAACAATACACCCACCCCGCAGTGTGCTATATAGTGGGGAAAAAAAGAACCTTACACCCTGAAGACATGTTTGGGTAGATAAGACCCATGTTTTAAGTCCTACAACTGACTGACTGACTGAGTTTGGTTTTACGCTGCTTTCAGCAATATTCCAGCAACATCACGGCGGGGGACACCAGAAATGGGCTTCATACATTGTGCCCATGTGGGGATTCGAACCTGGGTCTTTGGCGTGACGAGCCAACGCTTTAACCATTAGGCTACCCCACCGCCCCTTTAAGTCCTACAAGCATGTGTTACCACTGGGCTCAACCTATACCATACATGACGCTGTTGTAGTGAATGAGTGATTATAGCATTTTAGCAATATTTCTGCAACATCACTGCAGGGGAAACAAGAAATGGGCTTCACACATTGCACCCATGTGGGGAATCAAACCCGGGTGTTCAAAGTGACAAGAGAACACTTTTAACCACTAGGCTACCCAACCGCCCAGACACTGTTGTAATACTGCTAAATGCAGCATTACAAAATAACCCACCTTCACCCTCCATATAAAACAGCAGTAAATCGTGTGTGTGCTGTTCCAGTGATTGTTAATGACAACCAGGGCATGTGCTTATTCCCTCATAATGGAGGGTTTACTGAAGTGTGAAAGTATCCAGCAACTGGGGAAATGTTACCACACTCGAACATGGTTCAATGCAACAGTGTGAAATTTCACTCCAGTAAAAGACATTTTCAGATCAGTATCCTCATTCTACATTCTCAGATTTAATCACTGGAATGTTATGGAAAACATATTTGATAACATTAAAACATGTTGGTTTTACGCTTCTGTTGAGTAGAGGGTGAAATCAGCATGATATCACTACTTGCCAGTACATAATACTGAAAGAAGCGGGCTGACAGATTTACGCTTCTTTCAGAATATTTAGGAGCAGACTTAGACTAACGCTTAGTCTCTGAATATATGTTATTTTTATAGTAACAAATATTCTTATTTAAATTGAAAAGGAGCCCCAGTGAGATTGGAGCCTGAACCTGAGGAAATCTAGACTTGCTTCATTTAGAGATTTAGCATTGCAGCCAGGGCTAGGCAGGAAGAAATAAAATGTGGTTCAGGGACTGTGAGACAGACACTTGTCTATTGTCTTCATTGATACTAGTTTCTGAAATTCCACTTCAAAATCTGTATCAAATCCTTGAAATATGATACATTTTGCCATTATACCTTATGCCATTTGTGATTTCTTCCAGAAATATTCAAATAGCAACAACACAAAAGGGTTCTATGGATCAGACGAAAGGCAAAATAATGTCAGTCAATATACTAATTGGTAGACCATATTTCAATTCATTACTGTAATATTTTTTTGTACAGGACTACAATCCAGCACACACTTTCACTAACGAGAAGGCTTATATGACGACAGCATCTCATCTTGGACTTCCTTCAACCAATGATGAACTACCATTAGCAAATTGCCCTGAGCCTTTGTTAAGCAAAGTCAGGTATCAACTTTTTCACTTATTATAACTACCAAAAGTATGTCCACCAGGCAAACCAAGAGGTCAATATACTTACTGAAATGATGGCGGCCTGCTGTCTCCGATCCCCCCAACCCTCTCCGCGGGGAGGGGGACCACGTCCCCTGCCTGGGAGTCGGTACATTGTGACTGTGTGTCGGAAGCACTGCTTTCTGCTGGTACCAACTGTAACACAACATGGAAAATCAGTAACAAGATTAATAAATCAGGCACAGAATCGTGTTAAAAATTCAAAGCAGTCTGGGTGTCAGTGACGTCTGCTCTAGTGGTATTTGGATCTAGGGTCAGTGAGCAAGTGTGGTATAATGCTGCATTTAGCAATTTTCTAGCATCATGGTCGGAGACACCAGAAATGGGCTTCACACATTGTACCCATGTGGGAATTGAACCCACATCTTCGGCATGACGAGTGAACGCTTTAACCACTAAGCTTCCTGAATCTAAGAATCTAGGGCTTTCAACATTATGGATAAGACAAGGACACCTATTATTGCAGGGTAAATTTAAACACAGCAGTAGGTATAACAGGATTAGTGAGAAACTTGACTCGCATCCCCCAATACCTGTAAAGAAATCTTTTTCAGGGAAGTGCTGGGAATATACATTTTTCCATATAAACCATAGCAAGGATCCATTGCCTGACTAACTGACTGACTGAGTTTGGTTTTACGCCGCTTTTAGCAATATTCCAGCAATATCACGGCGGGGGACACCAGAAATGGGCTTCACTCATTGTACCCAAGTGGGGATTTGAACCCGGGTCTTCGGCGTGACTTCAAATTGGTTCACAAGTAAGGACAATGCTTTTTGTGCAAAACATATTTAACAAATGTTTCAATTTTAATAAAGCTACAGAAAATCCATTAGTTAAGTTACAGAATTCCATTAAACTTTGTAAAAATCACGAAATAATATCCTTGCAACATTTGTCTCTGGCTAAATGAATGCAACTGCTTAATAAATGGTTAGTTTCCCAACTGCAGTCAGAAATGAAACTATCTATAATCATGTTAAAACAAAAATGATGGCGCGTTCTCACATTTCTTCCTGTTCTCACTGGCCTATATCACACTGATGGGGTAAATACACCAGAGAAATACATACTTTTTCATTTTTTCAAAGAATGTGATCCATTTCAACCTTCTGGTTGAGGGATATCAGGATTTTACTACTACTTCTACAAATAAATAACTGAATAAACCCTGACACATGGAGAATCTGTACAGAAAAACAACATGCTGAAAGCTTTTCCATACCTTCTACCCTGTCAAGAGAGTAAGAATTGCCACTAAATACCCAAAATATCCCATTAACATACTTCTTTCAATCCATAAAAGCATTAGTTGCAAGAGAGGCTGGTATTTAATCATGGCAAGGTGTTTTAACATTCTACATCAAATGGTGGACATCACATGGCAGAGTGTTCATATGTCTGGGTAAGATATCTGTACTTCGCTAGCCACCTTAAGCCATAGATTTATCTCAGATTCCAAACTGCTTTGAAGATAAACTACAGAAAATCATGATTGCTATATATTCTGACATGTTCATATTTGTGATTTTTCCTGAAATTCAGAGGTACTTTTTGGCATTGTATATGTCAGGGTAGAGATTGCGATCTGGTAGGATCGGAGATTTTACCAGTAGAGATTGCAATCGGAGTCTTTCCTCATATTGGTCCTGTTGACAGTGAATCAGTTTATTCAGTTTCATGCCGCACTCAGCAATATTCCAGCTATATGGCAGCGCTCTGTAAATAATTGAGTCTGGACCAGACAATCCAGTGATCAACAGCATGAGCATTGATCAATGCAATTGGGATATGTTAACATGTGTCAACAGTGAGCCTGACCAACTGATCCCATTAGTCGCCTCTTACTGCAAGCATGGGTTACTGAAGATCAATTTTAACCTGGATCTTCACGGGTTGGTTATCAATGAAAGCCATAACATTAATTATAATTTTCAAAGACAATTACTGTCGGCTTGGTGATCAATACATGCCTCTGAACAGGTCTGGGATAAGTGTCATCTCATCTGTAGTAGATATCACCAAACAGTAAGTCTTGATTAGATATGCATAATGTAGCAAATCATATTATTATTCTTTGTGACCAGTCAGTCTGGTATATCAAGATACATAATGTATGGCAGTCATCCCTACCGTTGAGACAAAGTGTGGTGAGAGCACCATCAATTAAGAACAAGGCACCACACACCACATAAGTACTGCCAAATGTTTTGGCACTTTGGATGCATAAGATGTAACTGAAAATGTGCAAACCCAAATACGACGACTGGCTGATGTCTCAATGCATGTAACAAGACAGCTCACGTTGAGACCAGCCTCCATGTTTTGCCACAAGTTATCACTATAATTACTGATGACTTTTAACATCTTCCCGTCTACCCTTGTAACTAGGCAACACACAACTCTTGGCGCTGAGCTATGAGAGTTTATATTTTGTACACCTGACAACTAACGCTATTTCTGTTAATTATAATATTCTGCATAATTAGCACCATGTTCCCTAAAACGCCCAAGAGCATTTCCAGACCATTAGGAGTATTACATGACCAATTAATGCTCTCTGTTAGGTGCTCGGGCCACTTAATCTGATAGACAGTAGACACACAATCACTCTTCTGTGCATGGAGGGATGAAAAATGACTTGACTCCCAATCAGATGCTGATCATAGATGGTGTAACATAGGTTTGCCTTTCAGCAAAAACTCACAGAGATCCTGTCTTATGCATTCCATTCTGCAACTAAGTCTGCCAGTCTGAATTTGTCCTCTGGATATTTGCTTAATAACCTGCTATGTGAATGTGTGGGCCGTTGTGATATTTACTTCTTGGATGCCACTCGGCAATTCTTCAGCTTTGTAGCAACATGCTGTAGACAAGTCTGGACCAGACAATCTAGTGATTGATATTAGGAACAACCACAAATGCCAATGGGTTGACATGTGATCAACTACCAACACTGAATCAACTAACTCAAAATCCCACTAAACTAACTCAACATTCACTCAACTAACTCAACATCAAGTGAAGTAACTCAACATCGAATCAACTAACTCAACATCAAATCAACTAACTCAACATCGAATCAACTAACTCAACATCGAATCAACTAACTCAACATCCAATCAACTAACTCAACATCCAATCAACTAACTCAACATCAAATCAACTAACTCAACATCGATTCAACTAACTCAACATCCACTCAACAAGCCAAGCCACCTAATCCATTAGGGCTGCCTCTCCTGACCACCATATGTTACTCGGGGCCTATTCTGTCCCGGAGTCCCCAAGGGGTGGTCATTATAAACTGAGCTTAATGGACAGATGGCCACTGTAGTCGCAGGCAAGGACATTAATCTGAACACAAAGTCCAGTTATTGTGTTTCAGTCCGACAAACTTAGCTAATCAAGGTCAATATCCATTGTTTGTCCATACACTGGTCAATTAGCCGCAGGGTACTCAGCCTTCGAAATGATCTCAAGTTTGAGACTACCAAAAACTATACAGGAGAAATTCATTGATTGTAGTCCTCATTGACAATCTTTGTTTTTTTTGATAAAAAAATAATAATTAAAAATTATGAAATTAATTTGCTGTGAAATGGAACAGAGTAAAACTAAGAAAATTCAGACTGACTGACTGAGTTTGGTCTTACGCCGCTTTTAGCAATATTCCAGCAACATCACGGCGGGGGACACCAGAAATGGGCTTCACACATTGTACCAATGTGGGGATTCGAACCCGGGTCTTCAGCGTGACGAGCCAACGCTTTAACCACTAGGCTACCCCACCGCCCCAAGAAAATTCAGAAACACAGGTAACATTTATATATTGTTCAAAACAGGACTAACTACCAACTGTGGAGGGAAATAAAGTAAAGTTCCAAGCATAAGATGCTGGGGACCTATATCCTGACCGGGGAATCCCTACTGTATGTTAAAAACAACAAAACAACAAATAATATAAAAAAGCAGAAAACGAAAAGAAAGATGACGCCTACGTCTTACGTTTTTCAAGGTTTTTGCTGTGGGCAGACCCATCAATAATCTGAAAGTTTGATTAATCAAAATGTCAAGCACATCTTACAATCTTCACTTTCCACAAAAAAAAATCTTTTACTTCAATGTCTGTCACCGAGATTTCACCTGCCAAAGGCATGTTGTGATGCTGCTGGAGATTGTGGTATCCCTTCCAATTTCTGTTTATTAAAGGTTCAATTAGTGGAATGTCTCCAAGGCTTTCAATTCTATTCAAACCCAGCAGTTGGGCTCCTGCACTCCAAATTGGTCAAGATAGGCATCAATTTCCCCATTTACAAATCTGTGTACATTAATTGTTTATAGAAAACTGACATATTTGAATACTTCAGCAACTGTACATTGTGCTTTGGTACTGTGATAAGAGTGGAAACAATATGCAGTGTTAATTTCAATCATTAGATTTTCTTGAAGAAGCCTGGTATTTAGTATGGGGATGAAACATTTTATCTTTGGCTCCCCAAAAAATGTTTAATTTTTTTAAAACCTAGGTCACTAAATATATGTTCTGAATAATGATGTATTTTTGTGCCAGACAATTTCTATTTATTTCAACAACAGCCTGAAGCATAACTATTTCTTTTCATTGACATTATTTTAGTGATAAAACCTCAGGTTCCCCTAGAATATATGAAACGTTTGGACCCTCATTATGTTATTTCACATGAAAAAACACAATATGACAATTCTTATATGCTGCTGTTGCTTGTCAAGAATACTGAAACGCTTGACATGAACAGTGACCTTGGCCAAGGTCATGTTAACGAAGCCAAAACTTCCAATCTTCCAGCAGTTAATGTTGTTTTTTTTCAAATGTCCTTGACCTTCAACATAAACATGCTCATAAACTTCCCAAATCCATGAACTAGACAAAACTTGATATTCAGCTATATACAGACCTATTCGACATGTCTGATGGTTGCCATGACAGCCATCTTGAATTTATCTTTCAACATAGAAGGCTCCCATAAACATTCGCTAAGAACTCAACGAAAAAAATGTCATAGGCAATGGCATGGAGTCGCCATTGTAAAAATAAATTGTCTGGTGAGGCTGCCATTGTTGATCTTTTGTGAAGAAAGAACGTAACTCCCTT